GACTTAACTTTGTTGCACCTCGCGAGAAATGTTGCGATCAATGCTGCCAAAGAAACTTCTTCCCGGCGGAACAACATCATAAAACACAGCGAAACGTTTGGAATTTACAGGGGTCGTAAAAGTAATTTTTATGTTGCTGTAAGGAGTGTATTATCTTTTCATCACTCGTTCCGTTCAGCTACTCACTCTTCTCGTCGGCTCTTTCTGGCAGCGTCCAACACTATGACTTGTTTCTCCACTTTAAACTTTAATAAAAACATGCGTGTATTAATTTACCAACACGTTATCGTGAGCTTTTTGAACTAAGCACAGTGAACGTGTGCTCAACAGGATGTATGAATTACTTCGACTCTAAAATATTTGAAACATTATTTTGGTTCCAGCAAGTTAATTGTACAGTAACTTTTAACTTTTTATTACTCTTAACTGTCTTTCTTAAAGAACAACCATCAAATTATTACAGTTTGGCAGTTCAAAAGCCAGGTCCAAAGCAATTTGGGAACTTTTAATTAAAAGCAGCTTAGATAAAATAAAAGTAACTAAACTGCTACCATTAGAAAAACCCTTAACAAACAAATAAATGACTTTGAATCGATGAAAATGACTCTCTGAATCTTCCTGTGAGTTCAGGAAACAGCAACTCTGCTGGATTTTTTACCAGATAAAGACTTTGGAGTTACACCAGTGTGAGAGTGGAGGGAGAAAATTCTCTTCTTAAGTCTATTCATGTTTTAGGGCTTGTATACAAACTCATATTTTAGGGCTGCTCGATTATGAAAATAATTATTTAACACTATGACTTGGTGAATGTGGAAATATGTTGCATATAAAATACCTTTTGTATTTTCCCTTAAAATAACTCAGAATATAATTAGTCAAATATGGTTGTAAGTAAATACAAGTTCATAAAATAGATTTAATGAGAATAAAATACAAATAATAAATAGCTAAAACCAATTATCATTACTGAGAAAGGGATATAAATAAGAGCTGGAAAATACAAAAAGGAAACATCATATCTTATAATCAACACCTTCAGCAATGAGATGATAAATATAGAGGTGTGGAACGTTAGCTTGGGTAACTCAATAACACCCAAGGTAAACAAAGCAATATTTCTTGATAAGTAGAAAATATACTACAACAGGTACGGGTTAAGAAAAATGTTAACACCTCCTTGTGATTGTGTGTCTCTGCCAAACAGTGGGACTGCAGAAAATAAGCACACAATACACACACTTCTCTTCCTGAAGCGGGGGTTGAACATTTGTCAGAAAACTTGTTCGGACTACAGAAGCAAAGGCGACCACGGAAGTGGAACTTATACTCAGGTGAGACTGACTGAATATATCCAAATATATACTCACGTTTGTTATTTTCACACTGACAGCCGCTAGAGGGCACTCTAGGCTCGTGTACCAGTATCTGCTACTCCTGTACCACTGAAAATTTACATGTTCGTTATTTTCAAATTGACAGCCGCTAGAGGGCACTCTATATGGCTACTGTGACTTGATATTCCTGAGTGATTTATAGTCCGGAAAATACAAATTTTTTCAAAACCAGTCAAGTAGAATGTTCTTGCGTATTTAGGAGAGAGTTTTGGTAAATTTTCAGAAAGTGGAATTGCAGGGTTAGAAATGCAGAGTATAGCTCGTCTGTGCCCTTAAAGGGACAGCAGCATTTAATGGACCAGTATCTCAGATAAAGCTATTCAGTCAACATCGGTTCAGTGATCCAATCTTAACATGGCATGGTGTGTCCATTTCATATCAGTGAAAGAAAAATGTGTTGTATACTGTCACACAAACGGCAACAAATCCAGCCCAAATCTCCAGGCGTGGTCATCCTGGGCTGGTGAACAGGGAGGAGATTAGGGACCTGCTAAAGCTTCTCAAAATGCCAACCTCATCTGGAGCAGGGGGCTTAAATATCACCCAAATGTCAACAGGAGACCCCACAAGTCAAACTAAATTGGCTGCTTCATGCACAAACATTTCCCCATGTCGCTCCCATTTGTGTGTGAATGTCTAAATCCACACACTCTGCACCCTGACACGTCCGATGACATCCTGTCAAAGGGAACATGTCCACAGGTCGGTGCGAAGTACAGGGAAAGTTGTACTCAATGCAGCAGCTTTGGTCATTAAATTGGAAAGTAATTACCAAAGCAAGCACCGTCTACCACACATTTGACCTATTTTCCACTATTTATCCAAGTCTGCTGTGAAGAAGCAGCAGGATTACCACGGTTGCCCAGATGTCCTTCTCCCCAGCCACTTCCATCAGCTCTTCCTGGGAAATCCTGAGGCTTTCCAAAGCCAGGTGGGATATGCCTTCCTTCCAGCAAAATCTGGAGCAGAGAAGTGGATTTCTGTCCACTTTTTGCTCTTTGGCCACTCTAACACTTTCTGCCCAATTGAGAATAGCACACACGCTGACCATCTGCATGTGTAACAAGCAGAGTGTGCACATATTGTGCACCAGACTGTGGCACTGAATCCCAGCTTGACTGTGCACCTTAAAAACAACAGGACAGTTTGCCATTGATTTCACAGCAAACTCGATTGTCTTATGAAGTAATGCGACAGAAATGGGCCGGATATCTACAGCAAAGGTTACCAATATGTGGACTGAGGTCCGGATCACGCCCTGGGCGATGCACTGTACTGACTTGAACTTTGACAATGAAGATTGTCAAATTCAGTGGGAGCATTTCATGTGCTAATAACCTGTAGTAATGGTACTAATTAATTTAATGTTATTTTATACCTTTAAAACTATTTTTAAAATTTTTAAATTTCTTAACTAATTTCCCAGTCAATGTTTATTAATAAATGCTGCTATATTTTAGAAATATGTTGAATATGACCTTTAACCAATGGAATTGTTAAAAAAGTATTGATTGTTATGAACATTATAAAAGGGGGCGCTGTAGAATTAGTAGTAATCCTAAATATTTAATGGTTCAGGTTCCCATCCAAGAGAAATGCCTGACATTTGAAAGGTGTTTGCAAGAAAACATTATGACATTAGTGCTTTAAATAACGTAGCATGACAAAAGTAATGTCTTTATGATGAAGACGTACATTCACAACTATGACATGAACCACATCTGTCATAGGAGGAGAACCAGGAAACACATCACAACATGTAAAAACCATTTGCAATCAAACATTAGGACCCCGTTGTCTCCTACGCCTACACAATGCCACACACACGACTGATTTCCTGTGCCGCAACCCCCAGCTGCTTTTGTCATTAAAGCTGCCATGAGTTGCATGGCTGGCTGCAGGAGGTGTAGCCATCCATCAGCACAGTGCCAGAGCTCTGCCATTAGGAAACCATCTGCAAGCAACAGCGCTCCATTGGCACTAAAAGTCTGAAGAGGGCAGGAGGGAGGAGACGAGAGGAGAGAGATCCTCGCGTTCGAGGCAGTTGGGCATGATTGATATGAACCATTACCGACAACACAGTCGAGGTAGGCAGAGAGCTAGTCACCAATTTATTTTCGGTCATTTGTTTGGACCAAAACTTGGCCGGGGCCACGGTGAACAGGGAATGAACATCACCAGGAGACAAAAGAGAGGGAGAAAAAAAGTTTGTTGGAGAGACTGAGGGAACTGGCAGATCATTGCGTACACAAACACTACAAATGGTCCAATGCCCTGTGAAACTAGAGGTTTGCTTTAAAGGAGATTGATACAATTGAAATTAGTCAGGACATACAGTAGAAAGGAGGTTGGCAAAGTGGGAATCGAGCAACTGAACAATCTTACGTTCTGAGTTTCCACAGGTGTCCATTTCTATACTTGGCCAAAATCTCAAACAGCCACATGTTCTCTGCTGTGGCAAGGGACATTTCAAAGGTTTATTTGTTTCCCAAAAAAATGGTTCAGAAGATGCTTAGGGTTTTCACTGGAGTGAACAGGATGAACAGATTCAGAAATTAGAGAGATCAGAAGGACAGTTAAGATGTGATGATGAAGATGGAGGACATGGAGGTGACTGGTGTAGTTCTAGAGGAGGCCAGAGAAAGGGTGAGATGGAGGAAGATAATCTGCTGTGGTGACCCCTAAAAGGAGCCAGGAGGTGGACAATTATTTAATCTTCCACGAACCCTGCTGGAAGCAGATCCTTACTACCTAACAGGAGCCAGGAGAAGTAGAAGAACACCCAGCAGGTGGACAATTATTTAATCTTCCAGGAACCCTGCTGGAAGCAGATCCTTACTAGGTGTCCAGATCATACGATTATTTGGAGCAGAGATTTTTATCCACACAAAACAGCGTTTTTCTGGATAGTAAAATTTGCAGCTTCATGCTCCAACCTAAATAGGACCATAGAGTGTGGAAAGAAGAATAAGCTCTTTTTTTTAAGAACTATGTATCGCTGCACAGAGACTGGTTTAATTAAATTTCTTCACTATTTGATTTACAGTACTCCGCAGGGACCTGCAGGCCGTGTAGGAAACTACAACGTGTACTGAACATAACCATTAAGACTACCCTTCAGAATACTACAGGCAGTAAAGAACAGGAGGTGGTAGGCCAACCTAATTCCTGGATGGTAACAACAAAGCAGTATCTGAGCCCAGAGTACACCATATTGCATCATGGGTAATTTATGACATCCAACGACTATTTTAAAAAGTTTTAAATCAATAGATAGATAGATAGTACTCTTAGGCTGTGTGTAATACGATTACTTTACATTAAGCTTATTGAGTCATGTCCCTGGATTTTTCCTGCCTTTTGTCTTGATGAACCGTCTTTGACAGACTGATGTGACAATTGACAGACTTTGTAAAGTGAATTCTATCCTTACTTAATGAATGTAGTTAAAAAAAAACATAGACCTCAGACATTTTACCGCACATTTTAACGCTCCAGGCTATCACTTAAAGAAGCACCAAAATACTTCATACAGTAAGAAAGGCAATGCACTGTAAAATTGATCACAACATCTCCTATCTGGACATTAGTCAAAAGACTTTGTACCTGAGAAGTGGCTGGAAGATCACCGTGATGTTCCTGGCACCTGGCTTACACACAAACTTCATTTCTCCACCTTCGATCAAGTTGTCATCAGCACCACCTAAAACGAGGAAACAGAGCGAGTGTCAAATAAACAGGTCAAAATACATCTCTGTGGGCGAGGGTGTACTGACTTTTATTTTTAAATCATTGGCATGCTACCAAAACGGAGTCATCCCAAAAGAAATTGTGGGAAATTGTATGGTTGTATGTATATATTTCAGATTTGGACAAAAGAGAGTGTGACTGTTTGAGGCTTACGTTTTCAAACACAAACCGTAATAAGATGATAATAAAACAAGCTAAACCGAGACGTTTCTGTCTTGATGCATCCAATATGTTTTTATTAATCAGAATTATTGGAGAGAGGTTTAATGTTGCCACAACTGGCACAGAGTTTGACTTAAAAAAACCCACAATGACATCATTTAGCATTCTGCATCCATCCCCTTAGGAAATGATGCAAAATGTTGATCAAAAGTACAAAAAAGTTTCATGGCAAGAACTACTTTCTTCAACATTTCATCCGCTGACTCCTAATGCATTCTGGACAGATGTAATTAGGAGCATTTGGGATGTAAAATGAAGTGGGTAAATGGAAATGTTGGACAGAAATCACACAAGAGAGTCATCCAAACTTTTTCATGGTTGTAAGGTTTTATAAGGATGTGTGTGTGTGTGTGTGTGTGTTTTGAAACTGTGGCACAAAGCCTTGCTCTGCTGCTTCTTGTGTTTCATTTCCAAATCCAATCTGGCCTCGCAGAGCTCGTATGAAACGACACAAAAGCGCCCACTGTAGTGCGAAAGCCTGTTCAGCATTACCTGGGCAGCCAGCGTAGCCTTGCATTCAAATGTATATCAGTCCATTGTTCCCTGTGCCGGGCTCCATAACACGTTTCTAATGGAACAAGTTCCATTTGAAAAGTCTGAGGTAGACAACACTGGCAGTATTTTCATTTTAATGACAAGGGAAGCTTTCATTCAGTCCAAAAACTTCAAATCAAGGGTTTCTGATTCTGATCTGCAGCGGTTACATTCGCCTGCGCAGTAAACGGATTTTCACATTGCTAAGTAGACTGGAGGATGAGGTCCAATTCCCTCCAGCTCGCTCTTTCTGATTCCCGCGCTTCATCTATTCATCCCTTCGTTGGTGCCAATTCAATTAAGACTCAATTACAGGCTCCGAAACAAAGCTGCCACCAACGCAGTCTCCTGCTCATCCTCCTTCACTCGTACAAACGCTCCATCACTCCATCAGTCTCACCAACTCTCTCCCTCTATGATCATCAACAAGGAGGAGGCTGGCAAAACTTCTGTTTCCTCAAGTTCCCCTGAATAACAATAGGTCAGACTAGAGGGAGTTAATGTTTCCTGCTCGCTCCGAGGCACGACACTTTCTGGCAACTACACAAAACCCACATCTACACAAACTGTGTAGGTCTCTCGCAGTGACGGTGACCAATTTAATTTCATGCTCTAAACATCTGCATCTGTGTCAAACAAAGGAGCGAGGCGAAGACCTCATTGATCCGTGGGGCCCGGAACCAGCTGCCAGCGGGTCGTTATACTGATGAATATTAAAACCCAAAGCATAAATATGGATGTGGTTCTTAAAAGTTGTCTAGACGTGACGAGCTGACGCAGGATTCAGGTCGAGGACGCCACAAAACTGTTATCTGCGATGTTTCTCCACAAAAATGGTGACTTTGTTTGGGAGATATTGTGTGTCTGCAGATTTGTTTGTTTGTTTGTTGTTAAATGGAGAGTCTCTGGACATCGTGTCCTCTGGTCTGGGGTCTGATCCAGGATTACTGGGAAGGGTGTATCATGAAGTGGTGCTCAGTGGGACGTTACAAAAACACTGGACAAAATGACACATTCTAATGAAGCCAAATCTTCTTGAAACCCCTCCCCAGGGTCACCGCCCTGTTTATGACACACACCAAGGTAAGGGTCACAACATCCATAAAACATCTGTATATGAAGGACATGTTTGCCACGGTGTTGTCTAAATCTGCACAGGTCATTTGCAGAGCGCAATAGCATAATCTAAGAATTTTCATAGATATCGTATCTTCACACACACACACACACTCACTCATGCACTGACACCCAGACACCCCCTTGTGCATGCACCCGCAGCCCACATGCAATCAAGTCAAGCAGTGACTTAGTGAAATTGCATTAGCCACACTTTCTTGGATTTGATGAGAAACAGGTTTGATCCTGTGATCAAATCCGGTTCCTGCTCAGATTTAGGCAGTGGAAGAATGAATGTGTGACGCCTTCTTTAACACACTCCGACACCTCTTGGGAGCTGGTGTGTTTCTGTATTCATCCTAGTGTGGGCACTGGGGTACAAGCTGGGGGTATCCAGATTGAAGGAAAGAAACAGTTGTTTTACAAGTTAATTGGAATGGCTTTGTTTTCAGTAGTATAAAAGGTGCAAGTCCGAAAGAGGGCAAAGATCTACCAGCTGAAAATAAAGTCTAAATTCTGAAATAGATGGGGAAGATGGAGTGCATGCTCTGGATGTCTGTGTAGCACACTGACACCCATGTGTTTATTTGAAAGTGTCATTTTGTAAATTTTCGAACTGATGCTCCTGTATGCAGATGAAACCACCGTTTCCTTGTGTAATTACATGAAAAAAAGACAACCAACTCCAGGTCGTGATTGCAACTGGAATCTGTCATTTACAGGTGCCTGGCACCACACTGGGCTTCTGTCCTCCTGATATTAGAAAGGTCAGTTCAAGAGGATCAAAGACTCCTACGGTGACTGTGGCTGGATTCTGATTGGTAATGACAGGAGACGTGCCTGTGTGATTGACTCACAATCATGTCTCTCACACAGGAACACACAACAGTGTATCATAAAACAAACACAATCTTCTAGTTACACCGTATTTGTTGAAGTTCCTAGATATAATTCACTACTACTACTAAAGGTATAATTTTAAGTAACAGGATCAGCTAGAAATTGAGCACTCTGAAAAATTTCATTTTATTCAATGAAAAAAACACAGGTGAAAGAGTCGATAATTATATTTTCCAAGGACACAGCCGATACTTTTTAATCTTTAGTCACCAAGTAGTCTTGCTAAGGATCTGGAAAGGTGGCTGAATATTGGCAGCATAAGTTAAGAACTTATAAAAATCAGCCCATGACTTAATAATGCATGACTCTTCTGGTCATTTCTGGGCAAAGTATTCTCGTCAGACTTTCCTCATGTCTGATTGGGTCTTAATGTGAACCCTTCTATTATTAAAATTAATTTAATAAGACGGTGTCTGCTGCCTCCAAACCAAGCAGGAGACTAAAGCCACTCCTCAGCTGAGAATAAACTGTATAAATAAATGATTGTATAAATAAATTCAGGTGTAAATTGAGTTGGATCAATTATTAAAGGTGTCACCGTGGCGCAGAATGTGTCTCCGTGGTCTTGGGTTTAATGAATGCACATCTGTCAGTGGCAGTGTGACAACAATGCACTCCAGGAGCAGGATGAATATTAATTGTGCACAATGTCATTTTTTTTTAAAGGAAGCAATAGCAAAGCTGAACATGTAACATTTCCATCTAGATTGTTCTAACGTGTGTACTTTTCTACATGAAAAACAAGATCATCGTCATAACATCCAACTAGGAGGCGATGAAGGACGTTTCCCTGCCATTGTGCCCTAAAACTGTCAGTGTGTATTTTCCCCCAGGGATTAATAAAATATTGTGATCCTGATTCATTAGAAAGATTTACATATGAGTGATTGGATGTCTGTTCATTTTATCACCGCCTTAGACCCGCTTTCAGCATAAACATAGATTTTCAGGAAGGGCAATCATCAAAGTCTGGTCTTAATGAGGCAGTGGTTTAAACTAAAAATGAGAGCGTAACTGAGGATAAAGGTTAAGTTTGCAAAAAACTTTATGTTAGTGTTTGTAAACAAGTGTGAAGATTTGCAATATATATATGTGTATAAATATATATAAACATATATGCATATATATACACAGTATATGTGTATATATACATATGTGTATATATATATACATATATACAGTACATGTGTATATATACATATATGTGTATATATATGTATATGTATATGCATAATTACAGTATTATCCTAGACAGTGTAACATCTGGTTATCCAATAGTAGTTAGTATCATGGCTGACATGTGTTTGTGCGAGTGTGTGTACACGTGTGTGAGTGGAGAATGGAAAAATCTAATGGTCCAGAAAACCCTCTCTGATTGGCCACAGCAGGGAGGCAACCTTCACACTGTACACACTGGTCTTTTTCCAGAACAACCTGTTGGTCCCTGAGGTGTGTGTACGGTACATCAGTGGTGGAGCAACCATTGTAACTTCTATAAACACGTTGATCTTCAAGTCCCACATGACCTTCACCTCCCCATCAACTCCACTCTGCCGTTTTTTTTCCCTCCCTCTGTTTTTTTTTCTTTCCAATCAGCAGCTTTGAGATTGAAAGCAAACACACAGAGGTTTTCCCAGCTCAAGCCGACAATAACGACAAGACCAACTGTGATTAAAATTAACCTCAAACTGACAAACACACACAACAAAACATTTCCTTTCTAATGATTTCTCCACTGTGCAAACTCACACAGCCCTCCGTCGCCCCCTGTGTCAATCGTATTTGTCTTCATCACGTCTTTAATATTAAACAGCATTTACTTTTTTAATTATTTCTTCATCACCTCTCTGGTGTTTCACTGGAATCACGTCTTAATAAAATAATAATAATTTATACTCTACTAAGTTTCTTACAATCAGTCAATCCATCTTAATAAAGGTAATTTATACTAAGTTTCTTACAATCAGTCAATCCTGGTGTAGTTTTTTATTATAACTTGACATGTTTTGACGCTGGGCTTTCATTATGGTTACATCAAGTGACACTTGTGAGGAAGATTAGAGCTCACTGTCAAAACGTGTCAAGGTAAAAAAAGAAGAAAAAAAACATGTCTGATTATGAGAAACTTGGTCTATGAAACCTCTCTTGATGTCTTGGGTTAAGGCTCGTCAAGGTCTCAGA